GAATGGAATCGAATCTGCGGTAACGTTCCGAAGAGATTGGCTACCCGGCGCGCGGAAGGAAACGGCACAGGGGCTACACAGATCGATCTCGAGTGTCATCGAACGTAAGCTTTATCGATCTTGGCGAAGCCAAGCGCGTCAGCCGGATATTGGACGGATAAGGATACGAGAGGCCTATAAAGCGAATGCGGTCGGTCTTCACGCAAGGTGCACGCGATCAGCCGCCGATCGTGTGTGTCGATTCGATCGCCCTCGAGGCGTTTGCGGCCTTTTGTACGGCTTTGACCGGGTTAAATACATCAGTTATCGTGCCTTCGTTATGTGGGGCTACAGAGAGGGCGCGCGAAAAATGCAAGGTGCCTTGAAAACCACTAAAGGTATCTTTTGCCACAGATCTTGGAATCGACGAGAACAAAAATACCTAATGGTTCGAAGACACTCTGCTCTCTAAAGTTTTGGAGTGAAAATAGAATCGTGGAATAAAATATTCGCTCTAATAGAGTTAATGTTTGCTCCAATAGAGCGAATATTTCGCTCCATGGTTCTATTTTCAAAAACTTTAGAGGGTGCATAGTTAGAAATACGAAAGATAATTGTATCGTTTCCTTTCGAACGTCAGTTTGAATTTTATCCGAGTTGAGTTTGTTATGTCGCGGAAGGAGATCAGGAAGTATCGTAAATGAGAGTTTCACTGACAGTATACCATAGTGTCATCAATTGAAGTATGCGCAAAATCATTTGTGACAAGTGCAGAGATCGGCGTGAACAATATATAGTTGCAATTATTTTAATTGTAATATTAGTAAGAGCTAGCGAAGATATGACAGCAACTATTGACACGTCACAGTTACACGAGAATAATCTGATAAAAGTGCAATCGAATATAAAGATCGTCTCTCCCGACACTTTTTTTCCAATCCATTCGTAACCAAATCTTTTCGGAACCGCTATTTTTCCTACATACAAATATTTTGTACGCCGATCGAAGCCCGAGAAAATGTTCCCTCTATTTTCTCAATTTTGTCGGGCAGCTTGATCGAAATTGGAGGTCATGAAAATCTCGCCCAGCATGTCCGCCCCGACAAAGTAAAACAAGTACAAAATGTAGGAGACGATATAACGGGGAGCAGCGCGTTATAACGTTATTTTCAGGCTCGTACGTTTCTCGCCGTCGTACAGTGTCGATGTTTCCCGTCGGTCTGACATTACCGCGAGCTCTGGCCGGATATTACGGCGAACCGCCGGATACGCTATACGTATCGCAGAAATTGTCACGAATCAGGACGTCCGCGAAAAGTAATATCGTAATCAGCCATCGGATGTCAAGCATACGTGTAGCCCCGGTGCCTCCGATGCAATGTGAAAAAGCCGTTTGGCTGCTGAGAAGCTTCACTGCGCTTTCGTAGCGCTCGAAGAACCCGAGGGAGAAAGAGAACGATAAATTATATTTACAATTATACACTGAAAAAAATTTCTGGTTGAATATGGACGAATCAGATAATTCCTTTAGGATTTACCAGAATTCCTTTAGGATTTACCAGAATTCCTGTAATCCTACAGAAATTCTGGTAAATCCTAAAGGAATTCTGGTAAATCCTAAAGGAATTATGTGATTCGTCCATATTCAACCAGAAATTTTTTTCAGTGTACAAATGTAAAAATAATGTATAAGATGTAACGCTACGTTATGTAAATACTGGGCCCGAATATACGCGCGAATATTAGATGACGGATTTTATGTTGATTGCAAAATGTTATATTTATATGGCAAACATTTTTTCAATTGTGGAGCAAGTATATATGGCGTTGCGCGCGTTTATCATATTGCTTGTGGAAATTTATATTTCGCTTTCGTACAAATATTTTTTTATCTCAAATTAATCGTCTGTAATTATTTTATGCGCAAACAACAATATATTTTTACGATTATTTTATTATTTTGAGCGTTACTAATATCATTTGTAATTTTTTTTCTGTTTCAGTTCAACGTAGTCAAGGTAATACAATTTCATCATTGCGCATCGTATATCGGTGAGTGACAAGTCAGAGTGGTAAAATTTTTGTAGTAGGATTTCGACACTCGTTAAATTTCTTAGAATATGCTGGCATACTAATTGTGCGTAATCGTGGGACGTTTTGTACACAAAAAAATCGGAATATCATTTAGCAAAATTATTTACGTTATATACGAATAATTTTTCGACTACACTAACTAGATTATTGAAAATGTTTTCCTAAAATTTCTTTCCAAAACGATGAAAATCCGACGACAATTGCAGTGGCAGTCGATGAATAATTTCTACTCGTCCGATCTCAAAGGGCATTTCCCAGATGTATTCGCGGATACGATTAGAAGAAGACGCGATACGTCACGCACAGGACGTAATATCATAACGAAGTAATAAATTTGTATTCGAATCGGTACACACTGACGCGAGAGAATCACACGACTCCCGCGGATACGTAATATCGTTATGGATATATAATGTTGGCAGCATCCAATCTGACTAGTTGCGTTTCGCGATAAATTGCATTTGCGGCTCGGGGGGGGGGGGGGGGGGGGGGGCGGTTGGCTTTACCGTTCAATAAACAAAACGAAAGAGAATATTACTTTCGTCGCGTACAATATATTCTGTGACCATCAATTAACGTTTCCCTTTCAATAACGTAACTTACATCTTTGCACCAACTACTTTCTTATAAAAGTATAAGTGTCAGAAAAAATTATTATAGTTTCAGAAGCATTACTTATGTATCAATCTATTTTGGAAAGCAACTTTATTTTAAATTTTTGTAAGAATTCTAGAGAGAGAGAGAGAGAGGGGGGGGGGGACAGGAATTAATTATAATCATTATAATTAGATTAATTATATTTCGGTGAAAATTGTAGTCATTATTAGACAGTGTTAAATCGAGCTGTCAGTAAGCTATGCAAATTTTATATCTGGATTCGGGGTGACGCGGTTAGTATTCGTTTTCTATTTTACGATCTGTTGAATGAAAGATTTGATCTCGAATGAGATATTTGGAAATACAAACATTTTATTTCTACGCCGCGAGAAAGTGGTCTTAAAGCATCCCCGTAAATTCTCCTTAAACTTTTATTCCCGTGCAATTGGGGCGAACGGTGTTGGCAGTAATTCACAGTTTGCACCTCGCCGTGTGTATTAGGAATAAAAAGTAGGCAATTTTATTAAGGCTAATTGAAGAGACTTGAGAGATGTTGTCGGGACGATATGGAGAAAGTAGAAAGTCGTGTTGCCGACGGGCGAATTTTCTTCCAAAGGCGTATCAGGACGCTCTCGTTTTATCATCGCGTAAACGTCATACGGAATTGTCAAATGTCACGGGGCAAGTCTGGCGATTTTTCCGAGTGTCGAGTAAGCACGGCGTTGCGAGGAGAGGACTCGCGATCTTCATACGGCTCTCCGCTCGAGTTCTTCATCGTAAAAGTTAAAGAGAGAAATAGAGCGAGAAGGTGCATGTTAGAGGGACGAGAAATCTCGTAAGGGTATGAAGGGGCACTGCTGGAAGGCACACAGAAGAACGATCCGAGTTCGTGTCATAAAAGAGAGTGGTGAAAGGCTGGAGGACGGATCTAGTCTTGGGGTCTTTCATAAAGCGAGAGGAAAGCAAGAGCGTCCCGGGAGGAAAGGTCAATACTTTGGTAGATGACAGCATTGGTCATTGCGAAGAAAAAAGCGTCTCTGTGAACACGTGTTGCAAGCGAATTATAACATACGGTTTAAGATAGAATTCACGAAACTTTATTACAACTTTTAAAATACTATTAGTTATTGTCGAACATACGAAATTCTACCGCTCTAAATTACTTAATTTGCTTCTTATATCAGATTGTTAAATCACACCTCGCGTATTATTTGAAATCGAGCATATGTTTAAAAGATAAGGATCTTGTGATAATAATTTTTCAAGATACGACTTATCGGGTGACAGTAATTTCTCCATACCGAAAGGAAAATGTAGCTAAAAACTGCACGTGGCAACTAAATTTTCGTTGTAAAATATGGGCAGCCAAATATTTTGCTACTGTGCCTATCGGGTGCAACAGCAAACCGTTTGCCGTGGTTAAAAAATTTAGTTAGTTATGGCAGCGAAAATACTTTTAGCAAACCATGATTAGCTACGTAGAGAGAAAATCTTTGTTCAGTGCAGGATGGAATATATTTAATGCAGAAGCGCCCATTGAATTGTATACTCGTCACTTATACGAGTCTTCCCTCGTCGGCGGGAAGGAGACGTTTACTATCTATTCTGTATCCCCGAGCTTAAGAGCTTCGTCTCCGGGCGACGTCCCGGAGGAATTAAAACTTGAAGAGAAAGTATTAGGCAGCCAGACTTAACAAACTGATTCGAACTTCGGAATTTTCGTTCGGACCCTCGACCTTATGAACCGTAAGTTTATAACGAGTTAGTGCTTTCGTTTATATCTTCTTCGTTAAACAAGAGTGTCTTAAGAAGATACATAAAAAAAAGTGACACAAGGGATGCTATATCGGCAGAGGCATTTATTGTAAAATTATTGCGAAACTATAGTATCTATTGGTCTTATGTTAGTCGCGTTAGAAAAATTGAAAATTACTCGTCTAGAGTTGCTGCTCTCTTTTCTTTATTTGGAGTTAATTGATATTCAAGCTGTAAAACATGCCGAGTAGATTATTTATTAACACACGCGGCACAAAAAGTACCCGACATTTCGTTAAAAGTAATTAACTAACTGAATTCAATCTTAATTTTCTCTCTAAAATCTCTCGATTGATTTGATCGACCTATCCACATTCGAACAAATCCGATAACGGAATTCAAAATGCGAGCACGTAGAAGGGAGAAAAAGGATGGTTCTTTGATTTTGAAGTTCACTTGCCAAATACGCGGTAAAAAGCGCGACTTCCCATTGCCGGTCCAAAATAACAAAGTAAAAGGTTCGTTCGGGCGAGGGGAAAGATGAAAAAGGCCGATGGAAAGTGGAGGAAACGTACCTGTATCTCTGAGTGTCCATTTCCCTTCGTTCCTCGGCTATGGCCTCGTTCAGGTCCCTGTTCGGATCGATTCCTCTGGGAGCTTCGCTGTTCGCTTGCAGATTGTCATTGCTGACGAATTCGACCTCGACTTCGTCTTCATGATACGATTCGGTCAGGGTGTACTCGCGCAACTGAAACAGCAATACAGCGAGAACGCTTTCAATCAGCGGTCCGACACCGATCGAATGGAAAAAAAAAATATATCGTTTTCTGCACCGCGAAATATCGCGGAACATGCATATTTATGAAGGGAAATAAACGTGCTCTTCGAGAATTCATAAAGGTTTCATTTCGTTTCACTTGACCTGCACACGCAATATATGTGAATTATGTTCGGGGGGGGATAATACACTTTTCGTTTTTAAACACCGGTGAGCGGATTTAAGAGAAACACTTCATTTCCGAATATTTGCCATATTTATCGCGACCGTGCACGTATGAAGCTCCCCAAGCTTTTCCGATTTTGCAAATGATGTAATGGAGAATTATTTTACATATTTTACTCTCTCACGTGTTTTCCCCCATTTTCCAGGCATAGATCGAAATCGAATTGACTTAATTAAGTGTAGCTTTCAGAGTGGAACTTTACAGTTTTTTTTTCAACTCTGCGCTAATAATTAAGAAATATCGTAATTTTTATATATAGGGGTGCTCCGGGGCGCACTTTCATCTACGGATTCCTTCAGCGATTTGAAGTGGACTTAATAAAAAATTAAAGACAGATCTTAAGAACTTCCAAGATTTAATAAGAGATACAACGGGAGGCATAAGAATGTACATCCTGTTCTATTTAAAGATTAAACATTGACCGACCTTCTTCCTTTCCTTTTAAAAGTAACTGAATTTTTCATCGCCCTAAACCGAAAGCCCTTCCTTTCCTTTACGATGAATTTTAATAAATGGGAATACAGATATTTGTAGTAGTTACCCAGAACTAGACTGAGAATCTCTTTCGACTGACAGGAACTTCTTCTTACGCGTAATATATATGAGCACAATTTGTAGAATGTTTTTTTCAGCGACTAATCACTCTGTCCATTTTTTTAAAATAAATTATATGCGTGTGTTTTAACAAGTATTCGGTTTACTTCTTCTAGTGAGACAAATATAGCCAATTAGGCGAGAATGCATTAAACAACATTGTCGACTTTCTTTCTAAAGCATCGTAGGGAATGATTGGTGGTAAGGTGCTTTCGTGTTGTAGTAACGTTACGATTAATCACCCCCAGTGGCCAGCGGGGTACGACCGAATTAAAGCCAATGAGACTTTATGGTGCTTTGCCGAGCAACACTCCGTCGTTTTTCTCCGTTTGCCCTTTAGTCCGACTCGTTTTTATTTTTCGCTGGAATTTTCGGAACGACGAACTCCTGCACTTACTTCGTTGCAGAAAAACGGCACTTTGCAGGCGGACGAATGGACTATTTTGTATTTAACTGAAATACGTTAAACTTTCAATTAGGTTTATATCGGAAAAGTTTCCGTGATAAAGGACAGGGAATTTCGAGAGTCTCGTGAGGTAGAATATTTTTTTGCACTTATTTAAATCGGGAAGAAACAAGAGTGATTTCACATAATGTCAGTGTATTTTCTACAACTCTAGTGAGAAGCAACAGCTGTAACAATAGGAAGCTATGTATCTCACGTTGTCGCTAATATCGGTCATTTATTCTTAATAAACCTCATCGTCGTGCTCGTGTCGAATTAATGATATATCGATTTCCTTTTGGTTAATAAAAATTATGAGAACCGTAACTGTAGATGAAGAGCGACGAGTATATCTTTCATTTTGCCGAGCGGATATCAAAAGGAATTCATAATCGTTGCTATTATAAAAACTTTCAGGGAAGCGTCGGTAATTCGTTTTTTGAATCATATTTATATATTTCTATGGAATACACAGTTAGCCTTACGCTTATGAGCGACGCTCATTTTAATCGACGTACTAATTTTGTTGATAGACATGAATAGATAATTCTATCGACTTACTATAATAACAATAAAAATAATTACTACATCATTATTCGACAATAATTAATTCCATAAAATTTCGAAAATTATAATTATACTTTTTCGACGTATGTGTTTCTTAAGGTAGAGGAAAGTTCCCTATTATGAGATAGGATCCTAATATGGGATAGCGTGATTTCTGTTAAATTAATAGGCATCATCAGTTGATTCCGCCATGAAATTGCCCTCGGAGCGAAATCTGTTTAGTAGAAACTCCATTGTTAGGTTGTGTAATCGTTGCGAAAATAGATTTGTGATTGAATTTGGGCGTTGAAATATATTTTCTCTACTAATAATGCTTTAGCGTTCATGTAGAATAATTAAAAGTAACATAATACTCACTCACGTGAAATAATTAAAAATAATTAAGAAAAAAAAATCCTTCCTTTGTATCTATTTGGCCGTAAAGGTTGTATTAATGAATACTTCAACAGCTTCATCTGCTTGCCGGTGTGCTATGAGGACTTTGAAATTGGAGCAAGCGTTAATTATTGTCTAATTAAATGTCGCGCGTCGAGCGATAGCTTCTAATCATGTTTCGGTAATTATTTCGTAAAATCCCCACGACGGTAGCGTTGATTCTATTCAGGATGCGGATGGAGAGCTAAATCAATAAGGTAGACGCAAACTAGGTAGCACGTTACGTAAATGTTATTTCTCAACTCAGCTTGCTATGTTGTTCTGATAAAACAACAAAAACAAACAATATGCAACATTTTTCGCAATACAAATATTTTTCGAATTTAAAAATATCGCAGTAAATGTGTTAAAAATAATACAATTTTTATACGAATTTATATTATTTTTATAATATTACGATTTAATTTGTTGAAAATACTAAAATTATATGTGTATAAATTATCTTTTAAATAAAAAAATATGTGATGCGCAATAATATTATTTAATATAAAAAAAAACTTGGACTAAAATATGCTGTAAAATACCATTATTCCATCATATTTTCATAACATAATATATGTAATACTAATATATACAAAACAGAATTTAAATATGTCAATTTTATTTCCAGGTTTCTTTATATTCAATCCTTATAAATGTTAAAATATTTAAATTTCACTAATTTGTTAAATTTATCCTGATAAAAGCATCCGTTTTTCCAAAAAATATATAAAAGAAATATCAATTTTATGCAGGTAAAAAAGAAACAGAATAATATATGTAATACTAATATATACAAAACAAAATTTAAATATGTCAATTTTATTTCCAGGTTTCTTTATATTCAATCCTAATAACATGTTATAAATGTTAAAATATTTAAATTTCACTAATTTGATAAATTTATCCTCATAAAAGCATCCGTTTTTCCAAAAAATATATAAAAGAAATATCAATTTTATGCAGGTAAAAAAGAAACAGAGAGAAATGTTATATCCCTTTCTAAAAAAGAGATGTTACCGGCGCGAATGTCGTTAATATCGTAAAGAAAAAGAAATTAAAGTTAAATATCTAATTGAATGAAGGAGAATGAAAGAAATTCTTATTCTTCTAATGAGATGCAACGATAACTAATCTTCTTTATAAAAAGATATATAAGAGATTTAATTATTGACGCTGTTCCGCGATGCTGATTTTCTCGCTTGGCTTTCTGCTGCGAGTAGTTGTCAGTGAGGAGATCATGTAACATATGTATTTTAACAGAGTGTCAACGTCAGATTACGTCTTCTTCACATTAAAAAAGTTTTAATGCGTGTGAAGAAGATCATAAATACATATAAATTAAAACTAAATAGCGCGCGCAATGCTATTTCCAATAAAGTATTTAATACCAATTTATATTATTATTAAAGTAAATAATTCGATAATTTCTGCACATAATAAATGATGATTTGTAATTTAGTAATATACATTTATATGCATCAACAATTGGGATATAATCTCTAATCATAGTAATTATAATTTAAGTAACAACGATTTTTGTTTCGAAACATCTCGATTGAACAGCATTAATCAGTTAATTTAATCAATACCATAGAAGTCCGTAGAACGATACACAAAACGTAGTAACAGTCACGGAACAAAAAAAGTCAACGTATTCTCAACGTTCGTAGTTGTTTTTGTCTCGGCGCGGTGACGTACGATGTTTTTGCGTGCCATCGTGTACCAAGGTCGCTGCCTTCTCACTCGCTCGCCGAACGTCGAGCTGGCAAGCAGTGGCGAGAGTTGCTCCGTGCGCGTTATTACTTTTGCTTTACCAATTTCCAAGACGCGATCGCGGTGAATGTGGGGATGAAACGCTCTTGATTTGTACACGTTTATTATTAATAAGTAACGTTTATCGACTCAATATTATAACTTGCATTGAAAAATGATTCGGACGTTCAAGCGGCGGCTTTTATCAATGAGATTTGACGAGACTAACTCATCTAATTGTAAGATATGAAGGTAAACCGTGGTAATTTGTCGCGATTACTTCTCGTTTACGCACCGCGCTTCTAAATTATTTGTCGATTTCGTATCACTTGTTTCATTTTCGAAAAAAAAAGAAAGAAATTTGTGCGGCTTTGGCGTTCGCGCGGTAATTCGCTCTGTCGTTCTTTACAACTCGAACAGGCAGAAAGTAGAGAAAGTTGCTTATCGCGCGTGTATTGTGTAAATGTAATCGTAAATGATCTCGATTAACTATTGCAATTAATAACAACTATTTATCGCTGGAGGTTTCGTTCATATAATTCACTTCGAGGATTAGATTGAATGACAATAAAGATTGTAAAATATCGTTTCGCGGATTAATCACTACTTCTTTACCGCAGATTGTGTTTCCGATGTACGCGTTGCGTTTTATATCGCCGATTCAAAAGTGAGTTATCCATTATCCTATTCTTCCGAATCAACAATGCAAGTTGTTCGTTTGAGTAATTTGTACGACAGAAAGTCACGCGATACTTGCTAATAATATTTCATGCGTTTCGCGGTACTTCACATCGCGTACGGGAGTGTCCGAAATTTCGCGCGATCGATGATTTTAGAGACCGAGTGTTGTGCAAGTGCAACAAGGAAATCTGAGAGGAGGAGCAGGCCGAGGAGGCATCGGGCAACGGCGGCGAAATGGTGAGGTAAGTGTCTTACATTTTTATATTATTTCCTACTTGTGCAAAATAA